GAGTCATGGCTGGCGGTTGTTCCCGGGTTAATATTTCCCCCCCGTCTCTTCTCCAGGAGCTGTGATGAACGGCCAGCTGGTGTACGACAATGGTGGGTATTAGGGTTGCGGAGTCTTGCGTTAATAGACGGTATTTCCACCCAAAACAGGGTTGTTTCCGCTTTAGTTCGGGAAGCGGGAAGGGAGCAGAGCTTCCTCCCGGCTACACTGTGGGTATATGGAAATCAGATGTTCTGGTTTTGCACTGTTTGTCCCCAAATCCGCATATAGGCCATGCAATTCCCACGGGGCAATTCCCTTCAGCCCGTTTCACCCCAACCATTGGACACCCAAGAGGAGTCAACCCCATTTTTAGGTAGCCCAGGGCAAAGAGGCCCCGTTTTAAAGCAGGAATCCCAAACCCGGTGGGCTTCACCCCAAAATGCATGAGATTGGGAGGGTTTGGCGGGTCCCCCAATACCTCAACCTCTGCCTTCCTGCAGTATCCCTCCTCTACCCCTACGGTCCGCAGCAGCATGACCATAAGAACCCCAAACTCGATGATGGGACATCGAAGGAGATCTCCCTCACCGTGCCCTTCACCTTCTACGGCAAAAAGCACCAAACCCTTTACGTACGTGAGCAAAAATTCCACGTCTTCCTTGCATGTCTCTCCATTTTCCGATTTCCCCTCTTATTTTTCGCTCCCTTTTCCAGTCCATTTTGTCACTTACCCCCCAACAAAATCCACCCGTCCGTGGGATTGACCTGGTTGCCTTAATCCGAATTTTTTTCCAGTGCATCAAAGCATCCTTGTACGGTTGGTGGGTCTTGGGAGGAGACCTACACCCTTCTGGAGCGGTGGTTGGGAGGTCCGTGGCCAAGTTTAGAGTGTTATATCCCACCCCACCCCACCCTTTTTGATAGAACTGTAGATGCAACAGTGACCTAAACACCTCCAATATTGTCGTAGAGATGCAGAAGTCAGTGGTAAGCCCACATCTGGATCCTGTGTCCATCTCCAGGGTACCACAACCAAGTCAAGGTGTTGACCACGTGCTAGGGCTCCAACACAGGTCGCCGCCACGTGGGGGTTGACCTGGTGCCTTTTGCAGGTGAACAACAACGGTGTGGTTTCCTTCGGCGTCCGGGTCAAACAATACACCCCCGACCCCTTCCCCCTGGCCGACGGACGCCCCTTCGTGGCCCCGTACTGGGCAGATGTGGACAATGTGCTGGGAGGGGACATCTTCTACCGAGAGACCACTGACCCAATGCTGCTGGCACGCATCACCAAGAACATCAACCATTACTTTCCCAAGATCCCCTTCACCGCCATATGGGCTTTTGTGGCCACCTGGGACCACGTGGCCTACTACGGCTCTACCAGCAAAAAGGTAAGGCGCGCAGTCATGACTTGAAGGCCACATGAGGTCACACACCTGAAAATTAATTTATCCTACCCTGCCTCGGTGCAGAGACAAGCACGTGGCCACAGGCAAACACGTTTTTGGAGAGCGAAGCAAATCATGGCCTCAAACCCGTCATCAATTCGATGACCGTGGGGCGAGACAAGCCAAAACCAGAGCTCTGCCGCAGGTGCTCAATTTGTTGGCCTTCACAACCCGTTCATTCGCTCTCGCAACACATGTGCTGGCCTTAGGACCCATGGGTTGACCTTACGATCCACGGGTTGGCCTTGCAACCCACTCATTGGCTCTCATGACCCACTTGTTGTCCTTATGACCCATTTGTTGGACCTGCAACCCTTTTGTTGGCCTTACATTCCATTCGTTGGCCTTCGTGACCCGCTCATTGGCCTTCAGAACCTATTTGTTGGCCTCATGACCCATTTGTCGGCCTTACAATCTATTTGATGGCCTTTGTGACCTCTCCCTCGGCCTTCACGTTCCATTCCTGGCCTTCATGACCCATCCATTGGCCTTCATGACCCATCCATTGGTCTTTGCCACCCATTCATTTGCCTTCCTGACGTTTGAGGTGAGCATGTATCCTCCGGTCCTTCTGTCCTACCTGCCAGCCCTGGATGGGTACACAAAACCCTGTGGAGCTCCTCGACTATCCCTCGGTGCTGCCATGCAGGTGTCACATCCAAACCTTTACTCCCCAATTAATTTACGGGTTTTTTCCGTGTTGAAAGCCAGCTTTTCCGCTACACTGTTCCTCTGGCCACCTCGTGCGGAGAAAGAGGCTGTGGTAGAGCACCGAAAGTACTCGTCTGAAGGTAGACGCCCTGGATGGGCCATGCCTGACCAAGATGGCTTCCTTGCACAGCTCAGGGCAAGGAGTCTACACCTGTGTGCAGCCCTCAGGGCTAAACCCCCTCCATATCTGCTCATCCCACCACTGCCGGTGCCACCTCCCCCTTCCTTTTTGCAGGGGAACACCTTCCAAGCCGCCCTGACCACCGACACCAAGACGTCCTTCATCATCCTCAACTACGAGGATATCCAGTGGACTACAGGGAAGGCAAGCGGCGGTGATGCCAAAACAGGTCTCGGAGGCACCCCGGCCCATGTACGTGGGGCTGAAGGAAAAGCAGAGGGAAACGGGACGAAGGGAGTTGAGGAATGGGGGAAAAGGTTGACCAGTAATGTGTTTTTGGGACAACACCAGGTTTGCCGAAGGCAGGACTTTGGCCCACAATGTTTTTGGGGAAAAAACCGCTGAAGATAGGACTTTGGCCCATGATTTTTTTTTTTGTAGGGGACAATGCTGAAGATAGGTTGGCCCATAATGGTTTCTGGGGACCCCCACCAGGAAGGCCACTGGAAGTTGGCCTGTACCATTCTGGGGGACAACAATGCCAATGGTAGGATGGCGGCCCACAACGTTTTGGGGGGGGGGGGAACCACCAGGTTCACTCACGGTAGGAGGCTGTCCCGTACCATCTTCTGGGGACAACGATGACGAAGGTTGGAGATTGGCCCGTAACATTTTTGGGAGGACAATGCCAGGTTCACCGAAGATTGGAGGTTGGCCCATAACGTTTTTGGGGGACACCACCGCCAACAGGAGGAGGTTGTCCCATGCCACGAATCCCTCCGGATCCTCTATTTTGGCTCCCTTTCCAGGCCGGCTTCAACAGCGGCGATCAAACCAACTTCTACAACATCCCCGGCTCCCAGACCGAAGCCATCATCAACATCACCCAGACCTCCAACGTCAACATCCCGGGGCGTTGGGTCTTCCAGGTGGATGAATTTAAGGTGACGGGGGTCCCCACCGAGGTGCCCAAGGTCGCCGGCAGCAACAACTGCTGGTTGTAAGTCGGGTTTTTTGGGATGGAAACCTAAAAAAAAAGGGAGAATTGAGAATTGCTTGGAAAACCATTTCCTCCTCCTGAGTCCTTGGTTTCTTCCCGCAGATAAATCAAGGCGCCTGGGGCAGAGGAACCGTCCCCATCGTCCCCGTTGTCCCCGGCGTCACATGCGTAGGACAGGGTCGCACAGCGGGACGCATCAACCTCTACCAGAGCAATAAAATTGCAGCTGAGACATGGCGGCTCCTGTGTCGTCTTCATTCCTCACGTGTGTCCGCGTGCTTTTAGGGGGTTTTGGACTAGATGTGCATGAATTCATGGTTTGGGGGGTTTTTTTGCCTCTTTGTGCATTAATTTATGGCTTTTTTGCACTCCATGTGCATGAATTTACAAATTTTTGCCCTCTGCATACACAAATATATGGGGGGGTTGTGTCTGTACACACGAATTTATCATTTTTTGCCCTCTGTGTCCATGAATTTAGGATTTTTTCCGTACGCCACGCACGCACGTGTGACTTTTTGCCCTCCGTGGGCACAAATTTATGACTTTTTCACCTGCGTGTTCAGGAATTTGTGATTTCTTTTGCACTCTGTGCGCACAAATTTACAATTTTTTTTATGCCTCTCTGCGGGCATTTATGATTTTTTTCGTATCCGTGTGCACGAATTTATGATTTATTGCCCTCTGTGGACGAAATTATTTTTTTTCACTCTCTGCGCATATGTTTATGAATTTTTTTGCCCCTCTGTGTGTGAATTTATGATTTTTTTTTTACTCCATCTGTACAAATTCATGAAGTTTTGCCTGCTGCATGCCCAAATTTATGATCTTTTTGCCGCCTTTGTGCACAGATTTATGGTTTTTTTGCCCTCTGTGTGCACAAATTGATGATTTTTTGCCCTCTTTGTGCAAGAATTGATGAGGTTTTGCCCTCTCCCTGCACAAATTTATTATTTTTTTTGGTCTGTGTGCATGAATTTATTTGTTGCATTCTACGTGCAAACATTTATGGTGTTTTGTGCCATTTGCATAAATTTATGATTTTTCTCCCTCTGTATGTATGAATTCCTGATTTTTTTTGCACTACGTGCACAAATTTATAATTTTTGCCCGGTGTGCATAAATTTATCGGGTTTTGCCCTCTATGAGCACAAATTTATGATTTTTTCACTCGCTGTGCATGAATTTTTTTTTTTTTGCCAGTGTGCATAATTTTTTTTTGCACTCTGTGCATGAATTAATCATTTTTTGTACTTTATGTCATGCGTTTACGATTTTTTCCCCCTCTTTTGCAGAAAAAGCCAAAAAAAAAAAAAGATTTCCAAATGCTCTGGGCTCATTTTATTTCCGATAATCCCGGATTTTTCCTGTTTATGTGCATTTTCCTATAGGAACGTGAAGCCAAGTGACTAATTTAGGGGACAAATCCAAATTTTATGGGGGAAAAAAATCACCTAAAAAACCCACAAAGTGGGAATTTTTTCCCTAAAGAGGAATTTTTTCCCTAAGGAGAAAGTGGTTTTGCACGTGGAAATGAGCACAAACACGCACCACGCAATGTGCAACACGCAACACGCAGCACACTGGTGCGCGCAGCGCACGACACACGAATGACACACGTGCACACGACACGCTCGGCACGCACACAACACGCTAGCACGCACGGCGCGACACGCATGCAGACAACACGCTGCACGCTAACGCGCGCAACACGCTGATGTGCACAACACACCTTTGCAACACGTGTGCGACACCACACTCAACACACGCTAGGTGTGCACACAACGTGCACACCGCACACCGCGCAGCGCGTGCGTGCAACACAGCACAACACAACACCCACTAGGTGAGCACACAACATGCATAACACATTTGCACACCACGCAACCCGTGTGCACGCTGTGCACAACACGTAACACACAACACAACACAGACTGGGTGTGCGCACGTGTGACACAACACATTTGCACACCGCACAACACGTGTGCAACGCGACACCCAATGCACGCTAGGCGTGCACATGTGCGCAACACACATTTGCACACCATGCAACACACGAGTGCAACACAACACATGCGTGCAACACAACACTCGACACACACTAGGTGCGCACACGTGTGCACAGCACACAAGCACGCAACAGGCTACATGCACAAGGCGTGCGCACAACCCATACCGCGTTTGCACACAACACACGTACACAACACCAACCACAACACAATAGACACAACACTCACCCCCCCCACACACACACACATCCCCACACACCCCAGGTGTGTGCACAACACACACTACGGTGCGCAAACACACAACACACGTGAGGTGTGTGTGTGCCCTAAACACACGCCACGTGTGACACCGCACAAAACTGTCGCACCCACAACACACTCTGACACGACACGATACAACACACACGCAACACACACAACACACAACTTGGCACAAACACCCCCAAAACGTTGCACCCACAATATGCTCTGACATGACACACACACAACACACAACACCCCCCCATATAACTTGGCACATGCCCCCAAAATGTTGCACCCACAACATGCTCCGACATACACAACACACACCATGACACAAACACCCCAAAACATTGCACCTGCCGCACGATCTGACGTCACACAACACACAACTTGGCACAAACACCCCCAAAACGTTGCACCCACAACATGCTCCGACATGACACAACACACACCATGACACAAACACCCCAGAACATTGCACCTGCAGCACGATCTGACGTGACACAACACACAACACCCCCCCACCCCCCCCCATATAACTTGGCACATGCCCCCAAAATGTTGCACCCACAACATGCTCCGACATGACACAACACACACCATGACACAAACACCCCAAAACATTGCACCTGCAGCACGATCTGACGTGACACAACACACAACACCCCCCCACCCCCCCCCATATAACTTGGCACATGCCCCCAAAACGTTGCACCCACAACATGCTCCGACGTGACACAACACACCACACAACACGCAACTTGGCACAAACACCCCCAAAACGTTGCACCCACAACACGCTCTGACATGACACACACATACAATACACACGACACGCAACTTGGCAGAAACACCCCCAAAACGTTGCACCCACAACACGCTCCAACATGACACAACATACGCACAACACCCACACCACACAATTTGGCACAAGCGTCCCCAAAATGCTGCACCCACAACGTGCTCTAACATGACACAACACACAATTTGGCACAAACGTCCTCCCCAAAGCTTTGCACCCACAACGCGCTCTGACATGACACAACACACACAGCACCCGACTTCGCACAACACCCAACCGCCCCCATAGCCTCTATTCGTCATCCCTCAACAGGGATTTTTTTTTTTGGGGGAAAAAAACCTCCCTCCCCCCCCTTTTTCTCTTTTTTTTGCCTTTTTTGGCCCATTAACACACCCCATTTCTGAAAAAAAAACCCCAAACCCCACCCATTTTGTACCCCTCGCCTCTGCTTGTAATTTTGGGGCAATTTCAACCTCACTGGCAAAAAAAAAAACCCAAACAAATCCATATTTAGTAATTTGGACTTTTTTTTTGCCATTTGCCTCAGCCCCGGGCCTGGCTTTAATCAAAACAATGTTTTCCTCCCCGTTTTCACCTTCCTTTCTCGCCAAAAATGATGTCAAAGCGCTGGGTGGGTCAGTCCCCTGGGGTCGTCTGTATTTGTCATTTTTTTTTCCCCTTCTTTCAGCAAAAAATACTAAAGGGAGGAGCAGGAGCCAGCTGCCCTGGGGTCGCTCTCGGCATTTGCATCAAGGATTTGAGGACAAAACGGAGCTTTTTGGGGCCAGATAAAAACCAGAGGCAGGTAAGGTTAAATATGTCTATAAATAAATGTATTTTTTTTGCAGCGAGGAGCTTTTTGGGCCAGATAAAAACCAGAGGCAGGTAAGGTTAAATATGTCTATAAATAAATGTATTTTTTTTGCGAAGAGCCCAAAGGACGAAGGCACGTCGGCGGAAAGTGGAAGAAGGGGAAAAGGAAAAAGGGGGAAAAGGAGAAAAAAGAGGGGATTTGGGGGGAAAGGGAAAACCGGGGCAAAATAAACAAGGGAAATAGGGAAAAAAAAAAAAAACGGAAAAAAGGGAAAATGGAAAAAGGGGGGGGAAGGAGAAAAAAGGAAAAGAGGAAAGGGGGAAAAGAGGAAAAGGGAAAAAAGGGGGAAAGCGGGGAAAAAAGTGGGGGGAAAGGGGAAAAAAGCAAATATGCTCAGAAGGGGGGAGAAAAGGGAAAAAAGGGGCGAAAAGGGAAAAAAGGGGCGAAAAGGGAAAAAAGGGGGAAAGCGGGGAAAAAAGTGAGGGGAAAGGGGAAAAAAGCAAATATGCTCAGAGGAGAGCTGAATTTTGTGAAAATTAGGGGGGACCCAAATGCATCGTCCCGGGTCTGTTTCCATGGAAATGTGAAGTGATGGGAAGGGGGGGGG